TACAAAAAATCATGCTAATTTTCAATTTAAACCCTAAAAAATGTAAAAAAAAAAAATACTAAAAAAAATAAATAATAATAATAGTAATAATAATAAAACACAGGACAGACTGAAATATTTGTTAACCAGCTTTCTCTCGTGAATAAAAAGTGTTTTTTAAAGCAATCTCTTCTTTTTGTGTATGATGTGTGAAAACAACAGGAGTTCTGGACCTGATGGCTTCGTCCTGAACCAGGACTTCCTCTACAGGCTGCTGGGGAGCAGAAAGCAGGGAGTCCAGAAGTCTCACAGCTCCTCTCTGAAACAAGACGGCAGGCTCGGCTCCGTGTGCACAGTGCACCGACTGGACATCTGCCGACACCTGAGGGACGTCGGAAAAGAAAAGAGGCAGAGGTTAGGATGCGTTTATATTTGTCCACAGTAAATATACATAAATACTTTCTGACACGGTAACAAAACCGTATGAAAAATCAAAGCAATGTCCAATTTTAGTATAAGTATTGTGCAATGGCGTACATTAATTTGGCAGTAAATGTGAACTTCCTGGGTGTAAACGAAACGACACACTGGTCAAACTGAGTGTTTCCAAAGTAGAACACACTGAAAACAAAAACTCCCCTTATAATTCGTATGATTTTGACCTCGAAAAGAGTGAAGAACTGAAAGTCACGCTTACTGTTGCTTTGAATGCCTTGTCTAAAATGATGTCGTCTTCTTTCCAGATTCTTATCACCTGAAAACAAAAAAAACAAAAACAAAAAAAAAAGAAAAAAAATTAATTCTGATTGGCTTAGGTTGTGTGACGCATCACTTAAGCAACAACAATTGGCAGATAACAAAAATAGTGAACTGAGTGTCCATTTTCCTGGACCGGGTTACCTTGTTGTCTGAGACTGCCACATACTCATTGGTCTGCTTGTTGAAGACCGCTGCGCAGGTCAGAAGTTGACCCTGTTTCACTGTCCATCTGCCCAATGGCTTCTGGTCTGACACCTGCAGCAACATGTGTGACCAGTACAGAAAGAAAACACCCATAATCACACACTTTGACTTTACCAAATGCAGCATAATCTGAAAGATTATATTCAACTTTAAAACACAACTACAGCTGTATTATTCACTAGAGAAACGAGCTTTCATGTTGAGAGTAGCTAACATTAGCCAACTTCTATCTCCTTGTCATTAGTGTGACTTTCTAAGAACTTGATGTTGAGAGGGGATTAGCTTGTTTTCACGTTAACATCCCCGTGTAAAAGCATTAGCGATCGACCCAGACTGGAGTTAAGAAAATTGAACGGTTCTGGTTCTGTTATTGAGATCACCACAGGATGCTAACACGAGTCGGTACCGATCAGCTGGCCCCCAGCTCCTGCAAAGTCTAAACTTTACCTTGTACAGAGTCACAGATCTGCTGGAGTCAGTGACGATCACATGGTCGCTGTCCCGCTCTTCTTCGATGCCCTTAATTTCAGAGCTTCGCCGATTTACAGCTGGAACAAGTCCGCACAACGTGTATCCCTCACACAGCGCTGCCATGCTGGACCACAAGAAAGTGGAGCTCGCGGAATCTCGCGAGAGTACACGAAGGGGCAAGGAGCAAACTGGTAACTGCTGCGTTCCAGTTGCCTGGGAAGGGAGAACTCAGATGGATGATAATAAAGATAAAAATATTTATTATTACCTATGGAAACCCGAGGTAACAGCGTTCTAGTTAAGACGTCGGAATTTCAACATGTTAGCGCCCGTAAACGTTGTTTGTAATAGATTTTTACAATCATAATTTTAAGCTTTGGTTTCCATAAGCAAACACCACTTTTAATTTTTCAGTTTAACGTTGATTCCAGACGCACTTTTACATACGTGCCTTGTGAAAGAAACGTGTTACCACCACCTTACTTACACCCTCCCTGATACGAGGAGCGCCCACATTGAATCGCGAAATCCGCCTTACAAGCCGTAACTGGAGGTAATTGGAGATGTTCCCATGTCCCCAGTGGGAAATTATCCGACTCCCGACCGCTTTCCACTGATCTTTCCGACTAGGAAAGTCGGAATTTCCCAGCTCCGAGTACAACTAGAACGCAGCATTTAAACCACAAGAGGGAGATGGGGAGCTGCTTTATCTTTGGGAAAAGCTGAGCGCAACTTTAAACAGTGTCACCAATGAAAGTATAGTTCATCTTGATTGACATAACATAAGCAAGTCATGTTGTATAAGAAAATGAGAGTCTGCTAAATATGCATAAACGAGTAAGTGTAGTGGAGGTTGACCTAGCGGATTTAATTCAGATAAATGTATCAAAGCAAATGAGACGAGATGTATATTGAATGATAAAACATTCCAGTTATTTAATTAATCTTTTTTTTCTGTGCCACCATAAAAAAATAAAATAAAAAAAAATACTGTCGCCATCCCTTGCCCCCCACAGTGGTAAATTTTGTCTCACACTGTGTGTGAGATTGCAGATCATACTTTTATTAAGTAATAAAGTATTTATTGGATATTTTCATGCCCTCGAACCATACCACATTTCAGCTCTGACAGTTACAACAGAAATCTCAAATGCTTGTGGCCAGAATGTCACCTTGGTGAATCACCAGACAACTGAAATGAAATGAATGAAATGAAGTTTTGAAGTAATTTGAAGTTATGACATATAATAATAATAATAATATAATAATAATAACAAACAATAAAATCTCAAACAGATTTAAATCATCTCCTTTACTTTGAAAGGTAGTGGACATTTATGACGGCCTCAGGATAGAAAATATCTGCCACTTCAGCACTGGTCGATCTCTGATGGAAGTGAATTTGGCTTCAAGGTGTACTCCACCCCACTGGGTTCTGAAACAGCACACATAACAAACACACAGAGTAAGTTTGCCAATATCATGTAATAACACTTCAAATAGACAGACAGGTAGATATTGATTTAGGTTTTCACTTTAATATTAGGTACTGCAGAGTGCTATGAATTCAGACTGATTCTTCTTATGTCTGCAGAAATAAAATTCTGCGTTTTAGAGACTAATACTAACAGTAGAGTTCTATTTAATGTCTGCTAAACCTCTGACTGTGCTACTGAGAAAACATTTCGGAGCCAAGTGTTCTTCAGTTTGAGTCAAAACATTATGACTCGACAATATCTTTTGTTCAATTCATTTTTTTTTCTTGAATAAAATGGCTTGTACCTTCAAAGCATTTGGGGATGTTTAGCGTTCCATCGATGCACTGGGTCGGCACGGCATAACCACATTTCCTGGCTTCATTCATGCAGTAGACAGAGACGATCTCAAGGTGTAAGACACGGTTCGGCTGGAAGTTTTCAATCCAGATTTTCTTCCCGTTGTGCAAAATTCTAGCTCTTTGTAAGTTAACAGAACAGGGAGCTGAAGGGGAGGGGGGGGAGGGGGAGTACAGCATTTTAAAAAAAACATTTGGTAAAAATAAACATTGATCATCTTTGTGTTATTAATTGATGAGCACAGAATATTTATGTTATGTTTAAAAAAAAAGTGCTAAGCCAAGTTTTAAGATAAAATCAAATTGGAAATATGGCTAAATTTATGATTGCAGAAAAGATGCAAACTCAAACGAAACCTGATTAGACTGAAAAAAACAACAGCTATTTTTAATTCTGCACATTTGGATTTTAATGTTTTATATTTTGTGATTCCCTACAGAATTACCTTTGCAAGACGGCTTTTCGGACCACTTTCCATTCTCCTGACAGACCACCTCCACATTTCCTTCCAGCACGTACGGACTCTCGCAGCCGTACTTGACTCTTTCCCTGTAGAAAAACTCCCTCTTCTCGTTGTTTGACATGTAGCCTCTTTCAATGCTCTCTGGCGGAGGGCAGGTCACCACTGTGAGGAAACACATTCGTTTACTCTTACTTTTTCCTTTTATTTGCCAGGAAAATGGAAATAAACTTTCATAAACTTTTTAATATAGTTGGGTTGTACTAAAATCAACCAAGCTGAGCCATATTTTTCTGCCTTCTCCTACCTTGACACTCTGGTGTCTTGGTCCAGGTACCGCTGGCGGTGCACTCTGCAACCGGGTTGCCGAAAAGTGCGTATGGGGGATTGCAGATATACGTCGCCTTGAGGCCGTAATTGACCGTGTTTCCTCTGATCACCTTGTCGTAAATGACCATTCCGTACAGTGGGACTGGGGCGAGACCACAGGGAATAGCTACCAAGACAAAAACAACAACAACAAAAAACCCCATCAGTTTCAATTTTTTCCATCTTTTGAATAAAACATTTAAAATAATTTTAATATGGATATACAGTTGAAATCTATGTAAAAAAAAAAAAAAAAAAAGGTGAATCACACTTCAGGGTTGTGGGTGCATTAGTGGCTCTTTAGGCTCTAAACCTGTCCTTGTAGCAAATTTGTTGGGTAATTTGCAAAGATAATGACGGCCATTTTGAAAAATATCACAGGAGGGCTTTTTTTGTTGTGAGATACTTATTCACCTTGCTCTCAGCTGTGTTCGTTTGCTGTCGCTGAAGGTATTTATTGGGACCAAGTCTGTGTAATATCACAATAACTGTTTTTATAAATAAGATAAAAGCAATTAAATTCCTTAGACATGCTGTACCTTGTCTCTTCTTTTAACTACAGTCCTAACGGTTACATTGATGTCTGTTGTGTGAGAGTGATAGGGGAGCGATAGTGCATTTGTTTGGTTGTAAATGGAGAACATTTACAAATTTGGTTCACATATTCCGAAATTTTACTCCGTTCTGGAGAAATGTCTGTTTGAGACACACTGATTATTACACAAAGCTAACCTCTTGTGTGTGTGTGTTTTTTTTTAGATGAACCTTTTCAGTATTCAGTTAAAATTCTTTGCGGATTTGTTCAAAATCTTCAGACATGTCCCAAATTCTACTGATTTAATGCTAAAAAATGAGCATATGTTGCTTTCCCACCCCATTAATTTAAAAACACCTCAAAGAAAGACCTACAGTAAAATACTGTAGTTTATTTTCTGTATTCAAATCCTCACCACACCCCATAAATGCATTAGATGAAGTGAAATGACTTTAAATAATTACATACGTATGCACTCTGGTGCAGGTGAACTCCATGTCCCGTTGGCTTGGCACACTGCTGAACTCTCTCCAGTCATCATATATCTGTTCAACATGATATTTAATCAACAGCGTAAAGGTATTTTTTTTAAACCCAGCTTTTCTATGTACAGTTTATAATATACAATATAGATTATTTGCACACACACAACATAAAACGTGTTTTCTTTTTGTTTACCCTTCATGGCAGGTGTAGTTGATTGCGCTCTGGTACACTGTGTCCTCGTAAAACAGTTCACCATTAGTGATTAGTTCAGGATGTGGACATTGTTTTGCTGCGGGAGAAAATATGAAAGGAAGTTTGTTCTACTTAGCTGTTATTTATTATTGATGCAAACAGTTAAATGTGAGTTTAGTCACTTAAGGCATGAAATTGTGCAATTCATAATAAAGTTACAAGTATTGCCTTACAATCCTGTTTGTATGCTGAACCCATTCTAATATTTCAACTTTCCCACGTTTTGTCACATTACAAGCACAGACTGCTATGATTTTATTGGGATTTTATGTGAGCTAAAATAGCACAAATATTTAAGTGGCTTAGATCAAAGCATGCTGATTTCTTAGAGTGGCCTAGTCAAAGTCCAGACCTAAATCTTATTGATAATCTGCGGCAAGACTTGATGAAATGATGACCACATAGATTAATCACTGAATCTGTCTTAACCTGAGTTACTCTTGTAGTAAATACAATAAAATAAAGTGTAAAATTGTTAGACAAATCTTGGTCCAAAACACTAAATTTCTGGGTTTTGACACGACAACATGAGAAAAAGGAGTTTGAACATGTTTCTTCAAAGTACTCTATGTAAATATTTCATTTTTTTCCTTGACATTTTCAAACTTGCAGTTCTTAATTTGCATATGTCCAAGTGAAAACTCTTGAGTATACTAAAACTATTGAATATTTTATCTGTTTACGTCAAAATCTCTGTGAATTTTATTTCACTGGTAATTGCAAGAATTATTGCTAGACATTTCTGCCATAATTAATAGAAAGAAAATAAGACACGCACGTATGCACTTCAGCTTGGTGCTTGTCCACACGCCGTTGATGGTGCAAACAATCTTGCGTGGGCCCGACACAGGAGTATATCCCTCTTTACAAGCCAGGGCTAACTCCTCCCCGGGACTGGAGAACCTCTGGATCCCAGACATCTCAATGTTCCCGCTCAGTTCGGGTCGGGAACAAACTGGAATTAGTCAATAATTTCAATGAAAGTTGCGGATATACCGTATATAAGAGCTTTACAGATGTCCAAAACTCTCTACATACAAGCAACATTAAATGTTATGCCACACTTTTCTGTTTTGACAGAACAAGTGTTCTGTCAAAACACTTGTTTTGACTAAGAGTTTGACTAAAGCAGTGTTGAGAAATATAGTCATCGATCAACACAAGCAATGAAATGTTTCTCCATAAGTCCATAGCAAAAGTTGAAATCCTTAAAACAAACTCAGGTAACTTTTCATTCTAGGACGTGTGAAATGAAAAGCAGTCATACCATTATGTTGGGATGTCACTGTCGTCACAAGCAGACCAGAGCACAGCAGAAACAAACGCTCCATCTTCTGTAGAGACGGACGGACAGTCTCCTTCTCTCCTGCAGTCTGCCTTCGGCTTCGGGTGCGGACTCTTTGCCCCACTTTCAGCTGTTTGTGTTTCTCTCAGGGTAAACAGACAAGAGCAGCGTGAAGCAACTCCTTCAATAAGAGTTTGGAATCCTTTCAAATGTTTCCGGGAAGTCACAAAAAACAAACAAATAATAATAAAAAAATACCCAGATGTTGAAATTCCAACACAAAAAAAATCAAGTTTTTTTCCCACCTTCTGTATTTGTGGGGTTTCTTTTTTCCCTCCTTGTAACTTTTCCATGTCAGACTGATGTAAAATTGTGAATTGAATTTAAAGTCAAAAGCTCTGACCACCGTTTCATATATATATATATATATATATTTGTATTTGTGTGTGTGTTTATATGGTCGCGCCACCTAGTGGTGAAGCTAAGAACTAAATACAGTTTGAACATTTTAGTCTTCATTTTCAAAATTTTTCCATGATTCACTTGTTTTAATCTCATATACAGTCATCTCCTGTGAACGCTTTTAAATATCTATACATTGGA